ATTGTGTATTTTGTATGGGTACCCGGTACCCGGCATTTTCTTATCGGTTCTCATCTGGAACCGAGTTTCGGTTCCCAACCCTACTTGACACTTATTAGAGCAAGTGAAATCCACATTATTTTAAGCGTTGCCGCATTGTGGCAATTATTATTGACTTTGTGAAATGGATTTCTAAGGAGCTAGATATTTTGTGGAGGCAGCATTTAGTCCACCTCTCCATCAGAAAAACAAGGGGTTTTTGCTTGATGTTTTTTATGACGAAATCCACCACCTTTCAGCCAAGGTGGTGGTTTTCGTCATTAAGAGCGCATGTTTACAGTGTATGACAATTATGGTGGATTTATTTTCTTTCCACCAGTATTCCTCTTAAGATGCTGTGCCAGAACATGAAGAGGCAGATCGTCTCCAGAGCCTTTATGGATGTAAGTACAACATGTTGCTGTTTTCTATATATGTGCTTTAGACAACAGCAATGTATTTGCTTGGGTTTAGTAGCCTGCTGTATCAATATCATACTGTTGGCTTCTAGTTGAGAACACGATTGATTTTAAAATCAATTAAAGTCATTTCAGGATAATATATGGCTATAATATATGGCTCTACGCTGCTGCCTGATAAAGTATTACGTTAGCACATGAATGAAGTGTTCCTCTGAATATGTCAAATGTGTAATAAAGGCTGTAATGAACTGCTGGGTTACATAATGCTTTTATATTGTCATTAAATATTGTTTTGCAAAGGAGAGCTGTTTTTAATTACATCATCAATCCGAAAACCTTGTATTGAACTCAATATAACACTACAACAATTACAACTTTAGTTATTAAACTAAGTCAGTTTTACATAATATACAAAGACAAGTGTGCTAAACAAAAAGTAAGTAAAAGTAAAGTAAAATGTCTTGTAAAAGTTTAAATAAATTAATATAAATATTTAAAGATAAGAATACAAATATACACATTGTACTATAATATAAAACATGTATTTTACAATGTATACATTGGTCTATTACTATTCAAAATATATGAATGGTGAGTGCACAGTTTAGTAAGGGTTCGGCTGCTTATGGTTAAATAAGTTGGCAATCACTTGATATCATAGATTTTACTGTATTATCATACCATTGTAATTTCTGGATCTCCACACTGATGCTTGGTCTCAGCTAGGTGTCTGACCATGTCTCACCTGTCCATCAGGGCTGGCCTACTGCCGACACCTGTCTACCGTACGGACTCACCTGTCAGCTCTGGTCAACCACAACATGGTCCCCTCCGACAGACCCTGCGAGGCGTCCGGGGCCTCAGCAAGGAGGTGTGGAGCAAGTACCAGAAGGACTGCAAGGTGGGTTCACCGGGAGGCTCACAGTACATCAAATATGGCAGCGTGATCGACCTCTGCCATCAAGTAGAAGGAATTACACAACATAACAACATTATTAATCGCCTCCCTGCAGCATCTGACCCCCCTCTACCCCCCAACCTACAGGCCAGGGAATTTAAAAGCCAGCATTGATCAAGCCCCATAGATAAATCACCTCGTGCTGTGTAAGGCCGTGCCAGTCTTATTTACTGTAATATTTTATTAAGTGAGGTGAGACGTAAATAATATATATGTGCAAGTTACATTAAAACACACCAATGAACGTCACTGTTGCGCTGGGTGACATTTTCCTTCATTGCCATAAACATGCAGTCGTTTTTTTTTACTCAATTCTAACAACATCCTGCACCGCAACTACTCTCATATGTGGATGTAATCTGCAGCTGAAAGTAGTCCCCAATTAGTAGTGAGGTTTTTTTTAGTGCCCAGCTGTTATGCTGTAATACCTGAGTATGTGTAACCTGTTTTGAATGATTAGCATGTTTTTCAGTGAAAAATAGTGAGCTTGAGCCTGAATGCCACAGACAGGCTAGGATTAGGTTAGGGGTAAAATCCGTAAAATATTCCCCACTGTTTTGGAGCACTGAGAGACTTATAATCGAACATCTGGTTGACATTCGTATCACGGGTGTCATGCTTGTGTGCTTTCTTTCATATCTCGCAGACAAACAACAATAGTTTAAAGTCGTCGACCACAGGTCAAGCTGCTCCAGTGTTACACAGGGGGTCCCCCAGGGTTCAGTACTGGGTCCACTCCTTATCCTAGTTCACCTCCTTCCCCTTGGCACTATCCTCCATCACCATGAAGCCATTTCCATTGTTATGCAGAAGACACACAGGTATACAGTGGGCTTGGGCCTTAAGCCACAGATAGGTTAGGAAAGTTTTGAGTAAAATACTTTAAAACACATATTTTCGTACTTTTCCCGACAGTTTTGGAGCACTTGGAGGCCTATAACGTTATAATTGAGCTTTAGTTGCCTCTTATTAATGTGTTTCTATTTCTCATATTAATACACCCTTCTCTACTGTAGTTGTATAATAATCCTAAATCAGGGATCATTTACTGCTCCTGCAGTCTCCTCTCTCCTTCAATCTAATGGAGGTTTAATGAGTTTCAGTCTCATCACAGAGTGCAGAATGATACCATCGTAGCTATTAAAGGAGCCACTGTAATCATCCATCATCTCCAACAATGTCATCACCAGTAATTACACTCTATTCATATCTTTGTCCTTTATCATCTGTGCTCATCTATGTCTTCCTACATCAGTCTCAATCACTGCTCCATTATTCATGCCTTCCTCTTTTCTTGTTCCGCTCCATCAGGCGTCTTCTTCCTGTCATCTTTCTTCTTCTCCTGGGTTAATCTTCCTATTGTTATTTTCTGTGTATGTGTAGAACTATAAGGAGCTGGAGCTGCTGAGGCTGGTTTATTATGGCGGAGTGCAGCATGACATCAGAAAGGAGGTGTGGCCTTTCCTGCTTGGACACTACAAGTTTGGCATGGGCAAAAAAGGACATGAGTCAGGTACAGCACATTAAAACAAACACACTAACACACACACATGCGCAACTTTTGAAAAGCAATGGGTGTTCGATGCCTTTTTCCCCTTTGCAGATTGATGCAAAGATCAGCGAGCGCTACCAGCAGGTGATGCGGGAGTGGAAGGCGTGTGAGGTGATCGTGAAGCAGAGGGAGAAGGAGATCAGTCGGCCATCTTTGCCAAGCTCTCCTCGGGCAGCAGCATCGACAGCCACGTCCTGCGACTCGTTCACAGAGACTCCACGCTCAGCAACGAGGTGAAGAAACCGACATTAGACCTATTAGACTAAGCTCAATTTGAGTTGTAATTGTGACAGAGGCTGAGACCAATATAGCAATAGAAGCAATGCTGTTACTAGTATCATTCAGGTATGCATGAAATGAATTGTTTAATATCACTAATATTCATATTTTGCACATTACATTTTTCCCAAAGTGATAAAATGTCACCATTTTGATTACTTAGAGGGCAGTCTATCAATAAAAGATAACAAGTGATATTGTGTTTCTATTAGCCTGTGAAACAGTTGTAAGTTTCTGTGGCTCTGGAGAAGCTTTGTGAAGTCTGAGAAACAGAAACCCTGTGTTACAAAACAGGAACTGGGACAAAAATGTTGCATCATGGGTATCTACGATCCATTGATTGTCCCGTGCTAAGGGTGAAGGATATCTTGTCAGATGTATCTAGTAAATCCTTTTTTTTTACCTTTTACGTTAAGGTTTTCAATACATTTATTTAAAAACTGAAATATAAAAGAATAAATAAAATAAATCCTCCAGTGGCTATGGCTTGCTTCCACTCATACAATTCATATTTTGTCAAGGGTCGCACAGAGGGATGATTTCACAAATATACATTCATACGCACATAGATACCAAGCTATACCCATTTCATATATATATATATATATATATACACACACTTATATTTCAGATATTTTAAATTCTTGACTTGAGTAGTGAAATCACATCGATCCATGTGGTGCGATGTATGACCCCACACCCTTCACACCATTTCCACCGCTGTCTTCTGTCACTTTTAAAGTTCCTTGTCCTCTAGGTGTTTATGTCGGTGGACGAGCCGGATGCGGGAGCCAGGAGATCCCCAGTGGAGAGGACGGTACCCCCACCATGACCACCCTGGTTCCCCCTGCAGTCCTCCCCCCAGAGGAGCGACCGCTGGTGGAGTTTGACTCCCCCGACTCGGGTCTCCCCTCCTCCAGAAACTACTCAGTGACCTCTGCTCATTCCCAGATCCTGTCCTGTCCAGCATCGACGACGGCAGAGCACGGAGGAGGAAGGGGGGTGCGGGGAGGAGGGCAGAACTCCGGGGGGGCATCAGGACTCTCTGACTGAGGCAGGCTGTGCAGTCAGCTGGACAAACTGGTGACCAATGGAGGAGCTGCAGAGGGGTTTTCACCCTCACTCTCCTCATACACAGTATGTCAGTTCATACATGTTTGTTTACGACATAAATACACAACAGCAAAAACATAGTTTTACATGAACTAGTCAATTATTTTTCAGCTATTTCACCTCAAGGTGAGTAAGCAAAATAGCGTAAAGGAAAACTGGAAAGAAAACATCCAAAAAATACTTTTAGGTATTTATTGCTATTTTAGTCAATTTCAGTTTATAGATTTCTCCTAAATTCACCAAATGTTAGCATTGGATAATGCTAACATTTGCTTATTTAGAATAACATTTCAGAAAACGTGGAAGAAAAAACCTAATTGGCTAATTAAAGTATCAACTAGCATAGTACAGTACCCGTTAAGCATATTCTGTCCTGTTTATTTTCATTTAACCGTTTAGTTGAAGTGGGACAGTGCACATTGATGAACATGTTTAACAATTAATGCTTCAAAATGTAAATATCCTGAATTTGAGCTTTGAGCTAATTTCCATCCGTAGTCCCTCGCATACAACATTAAGAACATGACATTTATAAACATAGCAAAATAAATACATGATATGCAGAAAGAGAATGAGCAGCATATACAAGCATTAACCACATGGCAGTACAATGTAGCAGCTACAACATATAAAGTGCAAGAGGAGATACAAGAGCTACATCAAGTGCAAGAGGAGATACAAGAGCTACATCAAGTGCAAGAGGAGATACAAGAGATACATCAAGTGCAAGAGGAGATACATCAAGCAAGAGGAGATACAGAGATACATCAAGTGCAAGAGGAGATACAGAGATACTCAGTGCAAGAGGAGTACAAGGATACATCAAGTGCAAGAGGAGATACAAGAGATACATCAAGTGCAAGAGAGATACAAGAGATACATCAAGTGCAAGAGGAGATACATCAAGTGCAAGAGAGATACAAGAGATACATCAAGTGCAAGAGGAGATACAAGAGATACATCAAGTGCAAGAGGAGATACAAGAGATACATCAAGTGCAAGAGGAGATACAAGAGATACATCAAGTGCAAGAGGAGATACAAGATACATCAATTGCAAGAGGAGATACAAGAGATACATCAAGTGCAAGAGGAGATACAAGAGATACATCAAGTGCAAGAGGAGATACAAGATACATCAAGTGCAAGAGGAGATACAAGAGATACATCAAGTGCAAGAGGAGATACAAGAGATACATCAAGTGCAAGAGGAGATAACCCCTGTATTAAAGTGCATTTAGCGGTGATTGCACGTTGTTTTGTTTTCTCAACCATTCCTTTAGTTGACCTTTAAAACTATTAAAGGTCAACAGTTTATACATCTGTTTATTCAATCTGACTGAGACAATCAAGTGGTGACATCATAACATGACTAAACAACAGACATAAACATTGTTTTTATCTTGCACTTGTTTATGTTGAGGGCTAAAAACACCCAAAATACAAAAAAGGTGTTTATTTTGCTCACTTAATTTGTTTGTGTCTGTAGATATCCCCTAAATCTGTTAATAAGTTAGCATTAGCCTCATTTTCATTTGAAACGGAACATTTCAGAACACTTGTGATTACATACCAGTCACCTTTCCTTGCTGCAGATCGAGCTGTTGGACACCGTGGCCCTGAACCTCCACAGGATAGACAAAGATGTGCAGCGCTGCGACCGCAACTATTATTACTTCACCCCAGCCAACCTGGAGAAACTACGCAACATCATGTGCAGGTATGTCAAAGAACTATTTCAACCTTTCATCAGTGATGCAAATTAGTCGCTTTTCGGCGCCTCCCGCTTTTTTAACGCTGATTTGGGTGACTTGTGTAATTCGTGGAGAACCGAAGAGTTTTCGTTTTTTGGGACAAGCGAGCGCCTGTTTTTTCCTGGCCAAGGACAGTTTCCTTGAACAACACGAGCGTAACGTGTCGGTCTTCACGTGGTATATGTCTCGTCCGACCGGAACGCCGCTCCAGCTCTTCACATATTGCAGTATCCATAAGGAGCCGTACACATGCCGCAGTGTTTGCGTGGCTGTGTCTTTTAGTTTAAGCACAGTGGTGATCTGTTGTTATTAGCATCTGGTTAGCTAGCTATGCTAAACGAATTTAAAGAGCTTTTATACAACCAGGTGGAAGAGAGCTATCTCCTGAGAGGCTCAAATAACCTCAGCTCAGTGAGGTTAAGGCACACCTTGATATGATCATTATAGTTATTAATGAGACATTAGAGACTAAATGAAAAACAGGTATAAAATACTATATGACAGTAACAAAAAAGTTGTTAAAAATAACAAGAATAGAGTTTAAAAGGGGAGTGATTTGTAAAATATCCAAAAAGAAGAATCTGCTTACAGTTCTGTTTCATATGGGTGTTGAGATGTAGCCTACCCATAGATCTCCTCATGTTGCTCTCAAAGTGCACCAGATTGATGCTTTTAACTTCAATATTTAAAAAAGAATCTTCCCGGGGGAACATGACCCCGGACCCCCTAGAGGTGGTTAGGTCCCCCCCCTTAAATCATGTTCACATGGATAGGAAACTAAATACATTTGCACACATCTTGTGTCCATATCTTTCTGTTGTGGTGGTCATGCCACACCGTGCACATGCATGCATGCGTGAGTCATGGTGAGATATCTGGATTCAGAGGTTGCTTGTTCTTTGCACAGCATGAAAGAAAGGCCAAATGAATCGGCTGTGATTTTAGTTTTTTTAAGCAGAGGTTGAGTTCAATCATTTGTACGGCCCTCGGAGGATGGTTGTAACAATGTAAAGAAAAAGGTTCCCCACCCCTGCTGTAAAATAATAAAAACCCTTGATTTTTAACTTAACATCTCTGTCTCCTATTGATCTGAGTATATTAAAAGAATAGCAGTTAATTGAAGCATTATAGCACAGGCCTTTGTCAGATGGTTTATTACGCTGTTGTTTTTCTGCTTCAAATAGTTCTCTTTTTTCACCATACCAGTTGTTTGCATCACTGTTTCTATACAGCATACCTTTTTCTAAACACGAGATCAAATACTGTGTAATGTGAAGGGTGTCTTTTGTAGTACAAACCCACAGAGAGTCATCAACTGACTCTGAAGTAACCCTACCTCTTTTGAACGTCTTTCAGCTACTTGTTTTGATTTAGCAGGTTATCATTGGACTGTATTGATATACTCTCACAGCTCTCTTCACTGTTATTTACTGCGTTTCCCTTCAGGAGTTGTTGCTGGGCAATAATAAAGCTAAAAGATAGTTCATATGTTTGCAAGTTACATGACTACATGACAATGCAATTAATGGTAATGTTGCTCAATATTTTCTTGCTGTTAATATAAAGTTCACCATGTAATTGAAAAGCTGCTAATGTGTCCTGTGTGTGGTGCTTCCCACCAGTGGCCTACTGTCACCTGGTGCATCTTTAAGTCAAACTTGAGTCAAATGTCCCAAATTATAAAAAGTGATACAATACAATTATTTTCAAATGTGCACTTATATACATTACTCGATGGAATGTAATAAGTGCCATTCTCCCATGTGCAGTACCGGTGGTGATTTGAATGTGATGTGTTTGTGTCTGCAGCTTTGTGTGGGAGCATTTAGAGATGGGCTACGTTCAGGCATGTGTGACCTGCTGGCTCCTCTCATGGTCATCCTGGATGATGGTGAGCGAACAAATCCTCATCTGTTGTATATCTCCTGACAGAACAGCTAGAATAGCACCTGTAGCTGTTGGACAACTGAAGCTAATATGCCTTATTCAATCATCAAATTGATAATAAAAAACACTAACATGTAAATCAGCCATGAGTTTTATGCATTAGCATTGTGTATAGTTTACAGCAATTAAACAACAAACACCAGCGGGGCTGTTAGTGTGTGTGTATGTCAGTTCAGTTCAAGTTAACACTGAAAAGGTAGACTTTCTTCATTCAGATGATGACATTATATTAGTTAGAAGCTTTATTCATTAACATTGACATTTGATTTTAAATCAAAATGTGATTGCTGGTTAGTTTTCTTTCTCTCTTAATCTTACATATTGTTCACTTTGTTTAGAATAGGTATTTGTGCATTATTACAGATAAAATAATGTGTTTTTCTACATTTTTAGATGATATTCCTCTGTAATAGATATTTGTTGGCATTCAGCTTTTAGAAACAAGGGTGCTAGAAATGTGCTTGAAACCTATAAAGACACCTTTATTTAGGTGGTGATAACAACAGATATTTCAAAAATATTAAGTAAATCTTGAAATGTAAAAAAAACTGATACTCTGTGCTGTCATATTTTCACCTGTTTCAAATGCAAGTGGGAAATATCAGTTTTTGCCAAAACACAACGTGTGGTGTGTGTGTGGTGTGTGTGTGTGTGTGTGTGTGTGGTGTGTGTGTTGTGTGTGTGTGTGTGTGTGTGGTGTGTTGTGTGTGTGTGTGTGTGTGTGTGTGTGTGTGTGTGTGTGTGTATTGTGTGTGTGTGTGTCTCAGAGTGCCTGGCCTACAGCTGTTTCACTCCAGATATGAAGAGGATGAGTCACAACTTCCCTAATTGGTGGAGCCATGGACAACACTTTGCCAACATGACGGTCCCTGATCCAGGTGATGGATCATTCTCTCCCTCTGTGTATGTGTGTGTTTGAGAGTGTGTGAGACGAGTGTGTCCACTCCCACTCAGTCCCCTCTGACGCTCTCTCGTGCTCTCACTCTGATGTCAGATCCTGGACTCGGAGCTGTTTGAACTGATGCAGCAGAACGGAGATTACACTCACTCCTTCTACTTCTGTTACCGCTGGTTCCTGCTGGACTTCAAGAGAGGTGACCGTCACATCCTTCAGCCTCACTCTCATGTTGAGCCTCAAGGGGGGTCACACTGCTGATCACACTCACACAGTTAGCAGTGTTTCAGAGGGGAAAGCTGCAGGTGTTCGCGTGCCCGTCGTACTGCACTTCACAGTGTTTGCTTTAGGCGTTGACACAGAGGGGGCAGGGGCACACCTGTGGCATGCTCTGGCTGGCAGGAGCAGTGGAACGTAACCAATACCTCACGTTTATCAATCAAATGTTATTTATCTGGCCATATATTACAATTACACATTTGTCTCAGTGCTTGAGTCCAATTCTGAGGTTCTTTACATGTGTTCTTTATGCTTTCACTTTCCTACACCTCTGAGCAAAATGTTGTCCTATAGTAATACAACATATATGACACATATGAAAAATCTGTTTATTGTCATTTTGACCTCATAGCAGCAACATTACACCTTTTACCATATCTTATATGTCTACAGCCTATATCTGTAGAATACATTACAGAAACTAAAAAAGGTGTAATATCGTTTTGAATATCCAGCGCTTGTTTCTTAACCTTTTACTCTCTTGAATAAAAGCCAAAAATGACCTTTTTAAAATGACCTTTATATATGAAAACATTTGATAATTTGATAATTGATAATGGTTATAGAAATATATGAATGGCCATGATTTGTCCTTAGATGCTGACAACCTTTTCACAGCTGGAAGGCATAACCTGCCTATGATCTATTTTTTGCACCTAAATATTTAGATTTGATGACTTTTGTACTTTTACTTAAGTACACATGTGCATACCTTTTATGTGTAACAGAGTATTTATGTAATGCTGTATTGCTACGGTTTACTTTAGTAACAGCCCCCCCATTGGGCAGGAGAAAATCATTGCTTGGCAGCAAAAAAAAGAGGTAACATGTATTCATCCAGTTGAGGTCGTGAGATCTCTTAATGCCTTTATCAGTAGCAGTGCATGTTTTATTTGTTGCTGGTTCTGTTACCATTGGACTAAGTCGTAATTAACATTAATCAATAAAATCCATTTCCCCCCCCCCCCGCCCAGAGCTCCTGTACGAGGATGTGTTTGCTGTGTGGGAGGTGATCTGGGTGGCTTCCAGGATTTCCTTCCTCGCAGCACTTCGTCCTCTTTCTGGCCTTGGCCCTGGTCACAGTGTACCGTGAGATCATCAGGGACAACAAACATGGACTTCACTGACATCATTAAGTTCTTCAATGGTAAGTTAAGTGTGTAGTTAATAGTGTTGATCTTATTTCTCACTATCCTGACGTGGCTGCCATCAGACATTTGGCTCTCCACCAGTTATATTCTGTTATATTCTGTGTAACAATTACAAATGAATTAAGTCGGCACGGCGGCCCACATTGAAAATGACTTAGGCCTACCTTTGATGATCAAATCACTCAAACACAAAGTCCATCCTCCTGTCCTTTTGGATGAAGCACTTGCTTCAGCTGATCCTTTGCCACTCAATCTTGAAAATGACTCTGTTAATAATTTCGGAACGATGTCATCACTATCACTGAAGTGAGCCATCATGAACGAATGTATGCTAATTATAAATCTATCGATCATAAATCTATCGTTTAGATTTATGATTCGAAAATAATAAAAGTAGGGTAGACATGTGGATATTATCCGGCTGAACAAAACGTGCATTTATCTAACAGGTTCGTTTTCCACAGACCTTATTTCGAGCTATTTTCCAAAATCCTCTGGAGAAATCTCACTGCTTTCTGTCGAGGGAATCCGAGCGCAGCTTACTTCCGGGTTTTAGGACGCGTCACTGCACCACTTGCATAGACCTCACAGCGGGCGGAACTTGTCATAAAGTCCTTGAAAATAAAGCCCGCCCATTTAGAGGGAAGATATGATTGGTCAAATGTACTGTCATTTGACATTACTCTCTCGTTGAGTTACGCTGCTTCTCAGGTCGATTAAATGAAATCCTTGCTTCCCTCACTTGCGTCGTTTCCCTGTGACTAGTCCCTCCCACCAGGGAAGCATGGAGGGACGCAAGGAAACCACGAGAAGCAGGGAAATGAGTTTTAAGAGCAATGGGACGTCCTTTCCTCCGGAGCGTCACGTGAAGCGACGTCGGTTTTGTGATGACGCTGCACAGCTGATCGTCTGACAGCAGCTCTGGTCCCCGTTATTTCCACAAACACCCCCGCCTCTGTTAGTACACATTTACTGACACAAACATTTGTATCATCTGTTGTAGACCCCAATAAATAAAATAAGAACTCATTGTCAAAAAAGATAAACGCCATTCTTAAAATGTATAAACGAACAATAGTTTGATTAATATTGATTAGAGTGCACAATAGAAATAAAATAATTGAGAGAAGAAAAAGAGATATGTTATCTATCAAAACCCAGTTAGATTAACATTCATTGGATTGCACACTTTGTTTGTTTGTTTGGATATGTAGCACATTAACATTTAAATAGCACTTAATGACTGATTGAATGGAAATGACAATAAATGAAAATGTAAAACGAAAAAAGCGATCATGAAAATGTTTCCAAAAAATGAATTAAATGATTTTTGACCACTTTGTTGTTCAGATATATCACATATTTGTAACTAAATGATACATTAATTGAAACAAAACACGGTATAAACTGAGGAGTGACTCCCGTGAGGTTCATGTATTTTCTTCACTCTGCTCTCATGTCAAGAAGCATCAGATCAGTGCATGCACTGCCTCGTCCAATCAGTGAGCGATACACAGTAAGGGGGCGGGGTGAGTATCTGAGGATTTCATCGGAGGATGGTCTGGTCGTTCCTCGGTTATCGCTCCTCCATGATCGCTCCTCGATCCTCGATCCTCGATCCTCGATCCTCGGTCCTCCGGCAGAAATAAGAGCCATGGGACGGTACTCAAGATGGCGCAGGCAAATCAACTTCCGGTGAGACCGAGGACCGAGGAGCGAGGAAATTAAAATAGTCGACCTGAGAAGCAGCCTATAGCGGGCCCTCTGTGAATGTAGAGAGGGACCAACAAGCCCTCCCGTCTTCACATAACTCGCAGAGACGGCATTTAACCCTTCACATTCCAACAGAAACTGAACAGGCAGATTCGAAGGATTTATTTATTTGAAATATTATTTTAAATACAATTAAATCAAGTTATTTTGGTAAAACTAATGAAAAATGTAACAACAACAAAATATTAAAAATAAAATTTAATTTTTTTAATGTTTTCAAATATTATTTTTTAGAATATCTTAGGCCCTCACAGAGGGCCTAGAGGGCCCTGACGGCTCGCCACTGGTGTTGACATATTAAAGATTCAGATACATCAATGTTTCAGATGTGTACATAAAACGCTCATTTTGAAATGAAGTAGTACACCTCACCTATAAACACTACCACACATCTCACACTAGAGATATATCATTCATAATAAAGTTAGGGATAAATGGTTGTAATAGTTGACCAAAGGTAATATTAGATATTAGTAATATTTTTGGCTAAAAAACTTTTTTTTTAAATAGCTAGCTAAAAAATGTAAATTAGCTAGCTAAAAGTGATGGCTAAATGGTTAGCTAAAAGTGATGGGCAGATTGTTGGGATAGTTAGCTAAGAACTGGTTAAAATGGTGAGCTAAAATAATTAATACATTGTAAAAGTAGTTACCTTAAAGTTTTTGATTAAGGTTTAAAAGAGTTAGCCAAAAAAAGTATGGGTAAAGTGGTAAGCTAAATGTATTAGACACATTGATGAAGTAGTCGGGCTAAAAGTGATGGCTAAATGGCTAACTTGATGAACCAATTATTCAAAACGTTTGCTATAATAAATTGAATAAATGGTTGAGATATAGCTAAAAGTATGGATAAATGGTTGAATAATCAGTCTAAAGTTTAGACTGATTATTCAACCATTTATCCATTACTTTAGACTGATTGTTCAACCATGTATCCATTACTTTAGACTCTAAAGTAATGGATAAATGGTTGAACAATCAGTCTAAAGTAATGGATGAATTGGTAACATAGTTAGCTTAAAGTTTTTGATAAATGCTTTAAAGAGTTAGCTAAAAAGAATGGATAAAATGGTTAGCTACAAGTAAAACACCAATTCTTCAAGTAGCTTGAAGATAATGGATAAAAGGTTGAATAATTAGCTAAATATTATATATACGTACATTGTTTAAATAGTTAGTCGACCTGAATGTAATTGATAAATGGTTGGAAGTTAGCTAAAATAAATAATTTAAATTCTTAGCATTAATTTATGGATAAATGGTTGAAATACTTCAAAGTAATGGATACCCACATAAGCATTAGTATTATCATTCCAAAGGCACCTGCGTGCTTCGAACAAATTGGGTTATAAATATCAACGTCAAACAACAATCTGAATGCAGAAGTGTTATACTGTAGTTGTACTTGTTCCTAACAACCTCAGACGATGGTGGGGTGAAAAGCCTGCGATCTTATGGAAGCAGAGTTTGTTCTTGCAGGTGATGTGAAATCTATTTATTTCTATATTCTAAAGTTCCCCCTCTAACTGTGTGTCTGATCCACAGAGATGGCTGAGCGTCATGATGTCCAACATATCCTGAAGGTAGCGCGGGAGCTGGTGCACAGAGTCCAGTCTCTGATGGACAACAAGTGACTGTAGAGGACTGTGAGGATTCAGAGGGGGGGGGGGACACTCTCCCTCTCCTCCCCCAGAGAGACAGTGTTTCTAGGCCTTCCCCTATCCAGAGCAGGGCCGGGGGGTCCAGGCCTCCCTCCTGCCCAGCTGAAGGCCCTGGGAGTGGGGCAGAGCGCCGCAGCAACAGCCTGGCTCTGGAGCTTCAACTGTTTACATTCACCTTCACATGGAATGCCCTCGGTGTCCGTTCAGACATGTGGATTTGTCTGCATGCTTGTGAGTTTGATCACACTGTGAACACATCCTTGAGTCTCCCCAGTGCTACAGAGCTTGTGTGCGTGCATGAATGCACACACACACACACACACACACACACACACACCACATACACACACCACACACCACACACACACACACACCACACACACACACACACACACACACACACACACCACACTTCCAGACAGCATTGGCTCTATCAATACTGCAGTTGTTCTAGAGTGAACCAGAACATGTTGGATGCTTGTCAGGATGCTTTAGCGTTCTGAGTGGGTCGACAGGGGGGGCGGGATTTACAAACAACATTGTCCGAGGAGCAGAAAGACTTAGCCAAGAAGTTTCATTAGTTGACCAAATGGACTGTGGCCAACCACCTTTTCATGAGTGCTTTCTACTATAAGCATGTGTGTGTTTACCCCCCCTTTGTGCTTTTTGTCCAAGAGTTCATTCTCACACAAATGTTGCCTTTATCAGTAACAGCCCAAGGTACTTAGTTGCACTTTTTTGTGAGGATTTCCTTCCTGGTGCCTGTGAAAGCCTCCCTAAGTTGTTCAGGGGCCGGAGGCGCCACAAGCGGCCAACTGTGGAGAATTCTGGGATAAATTGCAGTCAACTTTCCTGAGCATGGCAGTGAGCGGGTAGTCCTTGTTCTGAGTGACGTGGCAGCAGAGCACAACAGCAAAGCACACGCCGTCCTCCATACTTTGATATAAAAGTGGTGTGACTCTGTTTTGTAGTTACATGGCTTTCCCCACTAGGGATGCTAAGGTCATGGCTTTGTGATATATCTGGTCATTTGGGGCGTTAATTGCCACTGGAGGAATTACTAGTCTATGATTACACACATATTACACATTACATGATTATATGAACTGTCTATAGTTGTCTATTCTTTTAGGAAAAAGCATTATTCTAGATTTAGATGACTTTATAATTAGTCATCAAAACCCATAAAGAGTCCAAGTATTTCCAACTCACTGTAGCCTCAGCCTCATTCCCATTGGTTCCCACTCATCTTTAAAACAGGCTCTCCAAATATAGTTTCATTTTTTTTAAAGCGATACACAAACAAAAGTATTTTGAGTGGCAGATGTATTTGATGCTGTACTTAATATTTACGGCAGCAGGTATTCCCCTCATTTTTAAACTTTTAATTGCTGGAAATGTGATGAGTTTTTGTTCGTCAGTGAAGCTCTATGACACATATAGTGATGCAAAGCCAGAGACACATGTTAGTTGGAAACATTTATTGTTGGTTTGGGTCTTTCCATGGGATTTGTAGACAGTATGAAACAATAACATATTCCCAGTTGTCCTTAGTGACTTGGTGTAAAGGATGCTCACTGTCAGGAAAAGTGGTTGCAATTGTCCGTGTGGAACCTGATTCTCCTCCAGCCTCTGGAAAGAAAACATACCTGGGCTGGGTTGGTCTAAATAAAAAACGTGTGTATTTAAAGAAGCTGCTTTTAATGCCAAACGCCCTCTAGTGTTCAGTGGATCAGGATCAGGTTTGTCTTCGCAGTGACAGCAGAGTACGCTCATGTTTGTATCTGAAGGGACATTTTTGATACGGTTTCCAATCCCCCTTTGTCATGTGACCCTTTATCTCCTCGCCTCCTTAAAATGTCCAACACGGCTGCATACGATTGGTCATCCAGCTCGGACCTGCACCTGTGATCCAAGTGCCAAGAGTCTTCCCCAATCCTCAAGTGTACTGTAGTGATCCAGCTCTCTGATTCGCTAGTTTGATCCCAGGAAACAGGCGGGGGGGTGGCTGTACCTTGCTGCTCCCCCCCACTGCACCCTGACGGAGGAGGGTCTCTCGGGGACCTGGGGCCCGTAGCAGAGCTTTTTCTTCCAATCAGGACATTGTGTACCAAAGCCTTGAAGCAGCCCCCTCTGTGGCATGACGACAATGTGCAATTTCATACTGCATCTTGAAGACTGACTGTTTACTATGTGTGTATAATATTTTTGAAATGGTGATTCTTTATCTACTGTGTAACTTCTGTCGTTTGAAGAAACCCATCAGAGTCTACGTTGCTGTAAATACGACCTGAAAGCCCGATATTTATATGAAGACAGTGAGAACATATATATATAACTTATTTTGAGATCTATTTTTTATGTTGGTTTTAGCAGCACTAGCTGGAGGTGTATTCTGGGATGTGGAATGTGTGCAGGCTGTGTTACACGTTGACTGTTAAGTGTTCTTTTTCAATGTTGTGCACTGACTTCAAATTTCTATTTATTTAGAGAGCCAATGATTGCATTGCTGAGTATGTATTGGTAAGGATGTATCATTTGCCTTGAATGTAATGTATTATTAAATAAGAGTTTGTTCATTAGTGGGCTGCTCTGTTCCTTCTTTGATTAGAATTGCTGCCCCACAACCTCCTGGTGCTCGTGACCTCTGCTCGGACTTCCTGGATTTCTTCCAGGCCAAAGTGAATTCCATCCACTTGCAGCTTAGCGCACCAGCGCACTCCTCACACAGCTCGTACTCCAAGCGCCGCTGCTCCAACTGCACGCTCCTCATACTGCCACCTCTCTGCTTTCGCCCCTGTGGATGCTGTCCAGGTAAGCTGGTCTCTAAGGCCAAGCCCTCCACCTGCTCTCTGGACCCCATGCGCACTGTCCTAGTAAAGGCAACATTACACATACACACTGTTCTGCCCACCATCGTGGACATCATTAACTCCTCCCTGCTAACTGGCATCTACCCGACATCCTTCAAAACCGCCTCAGTCACCCCCATTCTGAAGAAACCCGGACTTGACCCAACTGACCTCAACAACTACCGGCCAATCTCCAACCTTCCCTGCCTTAGTAAAATCTTGGAAAGAGCAGTCGCCGACCAACTCCACCATCACATGTCCAACCATGAGCTCTATGAACCCTTTCAATCTGCCTACCGGACCCACCACAGCACCGAGACTGCCCTGATCAAAATCACCAATGACCTCCTCATCGCAGCTGACTCAGGCTCCATCACTACACTAATTCTCCTTGACCTCTCTGCAGCCTTTGACACCATCTCCCATAATATCCTCCTCACCCGCCTGTCTGAACTCCTTGGCCTCACTGACTCCGCCCTCTCCTTCTTCCACTCATACCTCTCTATTCAGTTTGTCACACACGCTGGCTGCAGCTCCCCCTGTGCCTCTGTCAACCATGGAGTCCCCCAAGGCTCGGTCCCCTTCTATTCACAATATACATCCTTCCGATTGGTGATATAATCCACAGCCATGGTCTCTGTTTCCACTCCTATGCCGACGACACCCAACTGTACATCAGCACAAAACCTTCTGCCCATCTCCCCCCTCAGTCACTAATCAACTGCCTACACACATTTAAAACCTGGATGACCATCAACCTACTCAAACTAAACCGTGATAAAACTGAGCTCATGGTTGTGGCCCCCAAGGCACTGCTCGGGAAGGTTGGAGATCTGCTCCTCAACATCGACGGTTCCATCATCTCCCCATCCCCTCAGGTCCGCAACCTTGGTGTTGTCTTGGATTCAACCCTCTCATTTCAAAACCACATCAAATCCGTTTCAAAATCAGCCTTCTTCCACCTCAAAAATATTTCAAGACTCCGGCCATCACTGTCCGACTCTGTTGCTGAGAAGCTGATACATTGTTTCATTACCTCACGCCTGGACTATTGTAACGGACTCCTGTCCGGGGTTCCCAGCAAAACCCTGAACAGGCTCCAGTACATAGAGAACTCAGCTGCCAGGGTTCTCACACGCACCAAGCCCTGGGAGCACATCACCCCCACTCTCTTCAACCTCCACTGGCTCCCGGTCAAGTCCTGCATCACCTACAAACTCCTCCTCCTCACCTACAAATCCCTCCATGCCCTCTCCCCTCAGTACCTCACAGATCTCCTCCACCCATACATCCCGTCCCGCACCCTTCGATCCTCAGACTCCGGCCTGCTCTCCATTCCCCATTCACGCCTCCACACCTTCGGGGACCGTGCCTTCAGTGTCGCTGCCCCCACCCTCTGGAACTCCCTCCCTGCAGAAATCCGCAACGCCCCTTCTCTCAACATTTTCAAATCAACCCTTAAAACTCATCTGTTCAACATCGCCTTCCAACAATAACTCACCCCCCCCCCCCCACTTACACTTCTGCCCCCTGTTTTATGTTTTGTTTTTTTTATGTCTTGTCCTTGTATGTTTCTTTGTAAAGCGACCTTGAGGTTATGAAAGGCGCTATATAAATTCAAGTTATTATTAATTTATCATTATTAGACCAGAACAAACTGTTCTTAGGAAGGTCATCAAAATGTATATGTTCAATTAGCCCTATTATGCCTTTAAGGGTGTGTTGTATATGTTTTTGCCAAAATCCCGAAGTTCCCTCCATCCACTAGCTCAGCAATTCTCCTGACCTCTTTAAAATAATAATTAGTGGTATTTATTTGAGCACTTTTCTAAGTAATCAAAGCGCTTTACATTACATGAAATTACATATATAATACATTGAATACTGTAGACAATGCCCACAGAAGCAATTTAGGGAGAAGTGTTTCACTGGTCTCATCAGTGTCCAAACACAAAGCTCTTAAAGCCCACTAGCTGTCTAACACCAAATAGAAAACTAACAAGTTTGTATCACCATTCAACCAAAAATAACCAGACTGACACCAGGTTTAAAAACAAAAACAACAATGTTTATCATGGTTGATACCGATCAGTACCCATGGCATTGCACAATACAAAGGCATGAAAAAAAGTAACATTAAAATAGGTATGGCATCTTCCAAAAGCTAACTTTTTCATTCATAAATGCTTCTTGCGATCTCGGTTCACTGCATTTTCTTACAACAGAATCACAGAATTTGTCTAAATAGCCAGAAATAATTTCTAAAAATCGATGAGCGTGATATGACACGAAAAAGAACAATCAGCAGACATTCTGTGGCTGTGAGAAGTATTAGTATTATTTTCTGTACAGTACAACATCGAAGGCCAAGAGTTCTCCGTAGACTCCGCTGAGGTCATGTGACCGAGGCCCAACACACATGGAGGGGGGGCGGGTGAGACGATGGCCATGATTCTCTCTCCAACCGCTCCTCTGGTCCTGTTAGAAACATCACAATGCATTGTTTTAATTAAAAGCAGTTTTACGACTTAATCAGCGGCCTGTAAACTTTATTAGTTTGGGTTTCACCAACTTACCACTCCCAACTCGACATGAAAGGAAATACCCTTATCCACTTTATTGCTGAGAGTTAGAAGAAAAGGTCTATACCGCTTGTTAAGATGGCAGAGCTAGTAGTGGGTTAGCTCAGGTTAGCATAAAGAAAGGACAAATATAGCCTGGCTGAAATGGTTCTAAAATCCCCCCAACAGATAAATACATGTTTATCCGTATAAAAACAAAGCATGAAAACAACAACTCCCTGTTTGAGGGGGGGTTTATGTGGGGGCTATATCTTGGCGGGGTAATGTTAGCATGTACAGTATATATTCAGTGTACAGACGAGACAGGGCAATAGATCTTATCACCTAAAGTTAGATAATTGTTGACTGGTCGTTTCAAGATTTCCTCTCAGGCTCTGGAACATTCTGCATGTTTACTGGTTACTGAGTTTATTTCAGACTAAATATGAATTGATGTCACAATAGTCAATGGAGTGAAAAATAATGGGATGAAATATGAATACCATTGAATATTCTTACAAAGTTACTACATGCCATTTGTTCTGGCAGTGGTGGATGAAATGGTGGCCGACATGTTAGAGCAGCAGCGTCTGTGGACCCTGAGGAGGTCTGAGCAGGCAGAACTACCGTCTGTACTCTACTATAGGTCACCATCCTGTGAACACATGGTGTCAAGTATTACAAGGTCAGGAAGTGAGGTTAAGGTAGAGAACGTTTGAATGATGCGTGTGTGTTTTATACATAACATCTGAGGCTGAACAGTTGATACTTTTTTTAATAAGCTTTGTCGTCATATTTGATGATGTCGTCATTGAAAATGATGGAACTAAATAATGATTCATTAAGTGGGATTCATCAATTAAATGTGTTGGACATTTTATGAATAAATCAACTCTTTTTACGAGTATATGAGTCAGTTTCATTCGATTGCTACCATGCTAATACAATGTGCGTTGAGCAGGAGAGGAAGCAGCATTTTGACCACAATGAACATTTGTTTTTTTTAGGTTAAAACTCAAAGAAATACACATAAAACGACATGTTTGTTTCCAATACATTTTGACTTTACACAGCTCTGGAGTCATTGGAAATGTTTTGATCACATACGCCTGAAACAATCCTACCCAGCCACCACTGAAACTTATTCTTCAAATAGTATAGATTTGTATTTTGGTGTAGCCTCATTTCATCTGAAACTGTAAAAAAGAAATCTGCGAAGCATTCAAATGTTTGATTTCCTACAAGTTGTGATTATGTCTTCAAATCCTCCAGTGAAAGTAACAGATGAATGTAATGGAGTATAGAGCAGCATGTTGTGTACCTGTGTGTGGTGAGGCGCTCTGCTGCTCCTAACTGGGCTTGGGTCTCACTGCAGACTTCTGAATCTGTATGGAGGAACAAAGAGGAGACAACGCACACACAGGTTACAGTCTGAGAGTGAGAGATAAGGAAACACCAGAATTGAAAACTCCAAGAAGATTCTCCAGTCAGCTGACTCACTGACTTCACATTTGTATGTCCTTTCCCCATGATTCAAAGAAAAAAGAGTGCTGATTGTGTGAAAAGAACGTCATTATTAACAAAGCAGACAGACTCTTCTGAAGTGAGTTCCTACAGCATGAAGACAAAAAGATGTAGGTTGCCGTGACAACCAGAGGAGGGCACCAGTGCTCTGCAGACCCAGACACAACAAAGCAACATCAAGAGATTAACAAACTAAAGAACCACAACAGACCAAAAGCATGGAGACAATCATGAGGCGGACAACAAGCTGCGTTTAATGACAAGGAACTCAAGAGATGAGTAAATGTGAGCAGATCTGAAAGGAGACCTCCACTGAGCTGCAGATGGTTCAACTCAAATCAGACACTAAAAAGAAAAAGTGGAATTGTGTGTAAAAACAATGATAGAAAAGCTAAACAGGCAGAAATGTTACTGTACCTGTGATTGTTCTTTTAGGAAATCTGGTAGCTGAAATTCACCCTTAAAGACCTGGGAAAACAAAGGACCAGGTTTAGAGCTCCACAAATGTACTGAATGCTTAAATGCATCGTCTGGATCACCACGGTTTACTGATGAGCATTTTCTGTGTGTGTTCCAGAGTTAGGAGATTCCTCTCAGCGACACACACCACTACTCCCGTCTCATTCCACGACTCATAACATCTAC